AGGTTATAAACCCCTCGTCCATTTTATTTTCTGTTTGACCTGAACATTATACTTTTCCCCAGTCTTGGAAAATTAAACCCCCCCCCCAAAAAAAAAAAAAAAAAACTAAGGGCTTGTGGAAAAATTCCTGCCCTTCTGTGATTGTTGTCCATGGCGGTTGTGTAAATTAATCAACTATGATTTATTGTTTTCAATATTCATCTACTGGTTTGGACTGAAAGAGGTCATGTTCTGCTCTGCATGTGCATGATGACACACATGCAATAAGTGCATTCTGGTCCCTTATGGGTGAATGATATCTCCATCTGCATAATTACCAAACCATTGGATAGGATTTTGGATAAATATATTCGAACGTGGGATCTTTTTCAATATTGAAATATATCACAAGAATAGGAGCACGTTCGGATTCGGGATTTCTTTCAATATTTTGAAAGAAAGATATCACTAGAATGTTCGGACGTTTGGACTCAGGATTTCTTTCAATATTGAAAGAAAGATATCACTAACCAAGGTGGTTGGTGTGAGTGGTTCGGCACTCTCATTCCTTAAGAGAAGGTCAGGGGTTCGATCCTTGCTCTCGTATGGAGTCACCACTTTGGCCAGCACTTTACCCCTTACGGGCCGACCCGGTGTGAGCGGGGATTAGTCTGGGTTGTGGTTAAGGCTTAAAGGTGCCACCCATAGTTGGGGCCCATCCAGGACCACCTCGTGGTTCAAACCAAAAAAAAAGAAAAAGAAAGATATCACTAGAATAAGAGCTGGTTGGTTATGGATGTTCAACAATGAACCTGGATTATAGAATGCGTCCGGAAAAAATCAAACAAGGGAATCCTAAAATTTAAATGAGGTAAGAATGGAGATAACATTATCTAAATAAATTCATATCTCCTATATAAACAACAAGCCCTTATAGCTCAGTGGTAGAGCGTTAGTCTTGTAAACTAAAGGTCCGTAGTTCGATCCTGCGTGAGGGCATCATGTATTTTGTGATTTTTTTTATACCTATTTCAAAGTCTTCCAAGTTACAAAAAAGGAGGTGTCACATCAAACAGTTTAAACTATACTTTCACAATGGGGTCCACTTATTTTGATGGATTGGTGACAACTAAGACATTACTGGTTTTATCCAAAAATAAATAATAGAGATGTATAATGTCAGGGTAATGTCAGTGATTTACAAATTGCTCCAACAGATTGTTCTTTTTCTTTTGGGCGTACTTTCTAGGGAGAACAACCTACTAGAAATGGTTCCGTGGTGATCACAAGTATATGCATTGCCATTGAAAACTCAAATTGTAAAAGCGATAATCTACTCTAAATTAATCTAATATACAAGAAGAGAATTTAAAATTGAGTGCAAAAAGGTAGGTTCACTACTTTGGTCAATTAGTCTAACTCACGTGTGCCCAAATAGAGATTTTTTTATTTCACAAAGTTGCAACTTGCAAGGAAGTCTTGACCAAAAACAAAAAAAAGTTGCAAGGTAGTCTTCAACTGGCTGAACCTGGAAACTATCAAAACTGAGTCTGAGAGGGGCTCAGAGCCCCAAGATTGCTGCATGCAGTACATATTAGGATAAGATGGTGATTGCTTACTGTTGAGTGCCAGTTGCAAAATCAAAATGCCAATCGCCAACGGACTGCGATTCAGGTGTTTATATCTGAGGCATTTAAACATGTGAAAGCAAAACACCAAGACAGGATTTTTCTTTGTTTTTTTTTTCTTTCTAAAGCTGAGTTGAGCATATGGGCACTAAATGCTGTGATACTTTTCATATTTCAGATATGTGATTTTGTCTACCATTCTCTTTCTGGGTCCAAATGCATCTCTAACGGTCAAAAATTGTCTACACGACTGACCGTAGCTCCGTCGCATTGCAACACTTTCTATTTATAACAGAATAATGCCTCCAAGAATGGCAATGGAGCATGAGTTGCTTCGTTATTTTCCAAGAGGCCCCAGCATTTACCATGGATTCTAACAAGACTTCATCTTGGACATGAATTTATTATGTCTGGATCTGGACTAATTCCAAAAACAAGAACTGTGACTTCCAAGACATCAGCTACTTGGGCTCCAGGCATCCCCCAATGCATTCTCATCACCTATTCATCATCATCCAGTAGCTATATTCAAACAGAAGAGAGTTGTACTGCCCAACTCTTTGTTATGCAAACCCTATATCAAGCTTTGAGTGGTTCTGACTTCAGACGAAAATTTTCTCCAAAGAATTCCTAGAAAACTTGCGCAGAAAACAACAGTCCACTTTGATCCTCAGTGGGATCAAAATATCTCAGAACAGATAAAATTGGATTACATTTCCCGACACCCTCACAACAACTGCATCCCTTTTTCCATTAGATGCAGTAACTGATGTATCCTAAACCCTTCCAGCAACTGCAGAATGGGCAGCAATATCTGATCCTCAAGTTTCAAAGAAGAAGCTATCTTCCACATTATTGTTTTATGTTATCAAAAGTCTTAAATATGTGTGAGGTATAGAAGTTTCAATAGCATACACCTGATACAGGTAAGACATACTATTTATTTGCACACAACTAGTTTTCTAAGGAATTCATTATTATTTGCACATTACTAGTTCTCCAAGGAATTCAAACCTTCGAAAAGAATACTACTGATCTCATTTGACATCTGGAGTCAAAAACCAAACTTGGATTAAAAGGTGCCACAAGTCTTGAAACTCAGCTATTGATTTGAACTCTAAGTAAACCTTAAAATCTCAAATATTTTCCACTTAATATGACTATTGCAGAGTGAAACCAGTTTGAAGTGTTCTAATAAACCTACAGTAAAGCTTATATGTTTGAACATCACAGATTCATTACCCTGACACTTAAGCAGTGGAAAGAAATCTAAGTTTAAATTCTAAATCACATCCTAATTTAAATTGGAATTTAGACATTTAAACAAACATCATTTAAAAACTTAAAATATAAAAATTAAGTAAATCCCACAACTAAATCAATCCAAAATATTTTGGCAAAAAATACAGAAAACCCATAGGTAATTCAGAGAATATATATAATTCTATCCAAAACAAAGCAATATCTAAAACCCAAAACAAAGCAATATCTAAAACCCAAAACAACTATCACATGATCAACGTAAAAGAACACAGCTTTAAGAACACCAAGAAAGGATGAGGCAGACAAATGTTATTCACATAAACATAACAAGAAAGGATGTTATGGGAAAGGAATGGATTCTCTTTCAGACTAAAAATTGGTATAGAAAATCTCTCTGAATGGGGTATACATCTGTTTTAATTCAGACTTTTGTATAAACTCTAAAGTAAATCTGCTTACAAAAGAAAAATTATGGAATCTATGGTGAAGTATGAATTTGAACATTTGCAAGAAGCCTGGTGATTTTGCTAAGAGTTTCACGAGCAGCTACGGTGTCATGGTGATCTTCACCACAGATTGAAGTTCTGATAAAAAGAGCCTTCCTAATTAGATCATCAGCTATGTCAAACTGTCCCCCTCTAAGCATTAGCTTTGCCCTAGTTTCTAGGACTCTGGCTCTCGATAGCGCAAGCTCCTGCCAAAGGTAAGGATTCAACTGAGCATTAGTCGGGATCGGCCTCCAACAAAGTGATTTATCCAGCCACTTCTCAACGGGAGTAACAAATGCTTGGTCTGCTGCTTCCAGGGCATTGGTGCAGAGGCGCAGGAGCTCTAGAGCAGCATTGCAACGAGAGAATGTAATGAAGGTCCGTATTGCAAGAGGCAAAACCACTTCCTTGACAAGGTATAACAGATCTGACACCTTAAGCTCAACAACTATAGGGTCATGACTAAATCCAAATGTCAAGAAACAGGCTGCCCAGATATGTTCTGAGTGTTGAGATAATGATCCACGAGTGATGACAGCTTGAACCATGGCTTGTGCAACTCCAGTCACTACTCTCTTGCGAGCATATAGCTTGATGAGTTCATGGAAATGGATATGGTCTTGCCTGGTACTGCTTCTAGCAATATTAAACCTTAACAACATGGAAGTTGCTTCTGCTTCTGATTTTTTGGTGTATGATGTAGCGAAGCCACAAGTTAAAGAACGCAGCAACTTTCTCCATAACCAGGTCCCTTGATGCTTTTCTGGTATCTTGTGAGCAGCTAGGGCTAATAAAGAAACTGGAATTGCGGTCGGTGCAAACCAAGTACTTGCCTGGACCATTCTGGTTGCCAAGCTCCTTGGTCCATCCGCATGATCAAAAATCGAGAAACACACCTCGAAGAGTTGCAGAAGGAAAGTGTGTCGCCTCAACGAATTAACCTCTCTGCCGCTCCATGAAAACTCTTTTAAGGGCATTCTATTAGTGGTTTCCAATAGCTTACTTGGAAGAATGGGCAGCTCGGACAATATTGCACCTACAATTGCAAGTCCCAACGTTGACCGTCCCACTTTCTCCTCAATAGCTCGTAAAGCATCCAATTCTTCATTTTCTGTGTATTCTTTTACACTACCCTGCATTAGCGATATTGCCTCAGCCCCGGATAAGTATGAAAGTTTCAAAGGCTCCAAATTCATCACAGAAGGAAGGCGTGTGGAAATTATTATGTGTGTCTCTCCACCAAAACGGGGAAGAAGATCCATTACAAGTTTGTGATCCCACCAATCCTTTTCACTTTCTAAGTTATCAAT